TGCAAATATTGAACTGATGGAAACGTGTTCCTTCAGCTGGCTGTTGTGTCTTTTTGCTCTGTGTTTTGTTATCAGACAGTTTTACTGAGCATGTACTCCATTCAAGCATATACTCCATCTCCAATTTCTGCAGATAGCTTTATGGGCAGGATCTGAACACACATTAAAACATCACAGGGTTACTCTAGGAAAACACATGCCAAAACATAAATGTCAACCAATTAACTCAGATAGAGGGCCAGCTTTGTGTGCAGTGAGTAATTGAGCAACTGCCCAGCCACAGCAGGCTTCTTAAAGCAAGTGCCCTCTGCGAGTTTTGAACCACAAATTGTAATTTGTTTTTTTAAACTATGGTCGCCTTTCAGATTTTCAGCAAATGTAGGAAAGATTATGGTGTCGAATCAGCAAGACACCTGATTCTTCATAACCTGCATTCAATAAATCTTCATATAGACTTTGGAATAGATTACAGATGAAGCATTTAAATGGAAAAAAGCTTCAGCAAGCACGTGCAATCCTTAACTTTTACGTAGAGTTACTATACTCATTTCTGACAGGTCCAGAAAATGATTGTCACAGGCAGGATGTACTGGAAATATGGAAGCAATCCATATGTCATCAGCATCCTGCTCTTTCTTTCTGTAAATACTTTGCAAGCATTGTCACAGGCTCTGCTATGCCCTGCTGCTGACACGGGCTGCAAAGCCGAATTCCATTTGAGCTGAAGTGCAAACACTTATCTGTTGACACAATTTTCAACCCACAGTGAGATGCTGGAGCAAATTACACATATTCTGGTTGACAGGGAGCATGCAAGATTTTAAATGGTGATGCTACCTCCCCCCTTACAGATCTATCTGTCACCCTTATATTTATCACCAGTTGTGAAAGCTACTAAGGAATCTGAAAACTGGGGCCAGTATTGCCAAATATTTGAAATAGGATTAGACTCTGAACCACCCTAAGAGACGGAAAGACAATGCAGCATCCTTACTCCCATGCAGTTGCAGAATTGTACATTGTTTGCTGATGGAATCGGGTGCAGAGATTGAAAAGTACTGAAGCCCTCGCAGAAGCCCAGGTTTTCCTGGTGCCTTCTGCAGCTTGGGTGGCATGTTGCCTTCCCTGATGTCTCCTTCTGCCTTTCCAGGAGAGTACTGCGAGGTGAACGCCCGCTCCGGCCGCTGTGCCCCAGGCGTGTGTAAGAATGGAGGGACCTGCGTCAATCTGCTGATTGGGGGATTCAAGTGCGAGTGCCCACCAGGAGAATATGAGCGGCCCTACTGTGAGATGACCACCAGGAGCTTCCCCCCACAGTCCTTCATCACCTTCAAGGGGCTGCGGCAGCGCTTCCACTTCACCGTCTCCCTCATGTAAGTCCGTGTTCTGTCCCCATCCCAATGGCTCCTAGCACAGGGTCTGGCTTCTCCCCTCAAGGTTGAGGTGTGTTTGTTAAATATCGTAACCCTGAATTATCTATGTGTAGAGGTCTCTGTGGGGGATTTCTGGCTCTGACTCTTTCAAGTGGGGCAAAATCACATTGTTTGAAAGTGTTTAATTTCTGTCCTGTGCTGTTGAGGTTCTAACCATTTCTCTTTTACTACAGACTTTTACTAAAAATTTCTTTGCTAGGAACTTTGTGTTTTTGACAAGCAGTTTATTTACCTCCTCTGCTTTGGAGATTAGTATTTGGATATACATAGTTCTTTCTTGGTGAAGTGCTTCACACAGCTGAGAGGGCTCATCCCAGCCCTCACAGGCTTTCAGGGGACCACCAGAACAGCAGCATCTGGAGAGAGGACAGCAACTGATGTCACTGCTCAGGGGGATCACAGAGTAATGTGCCAAGCCAAGGGTCTGCTTGCTAACCTTCCTTTGCTCTAGAGCTCTTATAGGCTGAGTTTTGCTCTGTGGGGAGATGGTGTGGGGAGAAAGGCCTTTCCAGGCAATGGGGTGGTGCCGAACCACAAACTCCATCTGCATCTCAGCAGCCCTTGGCCAGAGAGGCGTGAGAGTGGATGGTAGGTCAGTCAGGTCATAGCTGAACAAAGGCTGGTGCTCCTTGGGTTCTGGTTTCCAGACTTATGTCTGGAGCAGCCCTGATTGTCACAGCTTCTCACCTTGCTCCTCCTTCATGAAGCTGCCTTCAAGAGCAGCTCTGCTTCTCGTCCCATCCTGGCTGCCACATCCCTGTCCCATTTGCCGTGACAAATCCATGTTGGACAGACTTCACCTGGGCTGTCTGTCACTTCTTCCATGGGGACAATTGAGGAGCTCTGGGGTGAGGAGAGCAATGGTGACAGCCACTGATGTACAGTAGGGCTCTCCTCCACTGATTCAAGACTGCCTAGGTTAAAAAAAAGAACACTTCTAGAGAAGACTTTTTTGTTCAAGCCATGTCTTAGGGTTTGTCTGCCATGGAGTGAGAACTTCAGATGGAAATTCATGTTTCCTCTGGAGAGGGTGCAAGTTTTGCAGCTCTCCCACGGTCAGGGTTGACCTTTGGTTGTCCCTCATGGTTGACTTTGAGTAAATAGTGCAAAATGTGTCAGCTCAGACCTTGGCGGGCAATGTCAGAAGTTTGTTGGTCTGCAAAGCAACAGATGCAACAACAGAAGAGTTTTGTGTGTCTGTCTAGAGAAAATGCTCAGGACTGAGAAGTCACGTCATCAGGCACGTTTCCCATGTCGTGCTTGGCAGATGCTTGCTGTTTTACTTCTGACTGGGGATAGGCAGGTTCAGAATTTTATGGAATCTTGAAATTACAGTTAAATCTGGATGTGTGGATGCAGTTTGCATGCAAGCCACGGCAGGGAAGAGTTGTGCCTGAGAAGGTTGGTTTAGAGCATCAGACCTAAATAGACAGAAAAGCTGAGAAGCAAAAGTCTCAGTTGGCCTTGTCAGATCCACACTAAGAGCAAACAAAGGAGCGGCCTAGGCTGGCTGCCAGCATAAATTACCTGCAGTACCCTTGGAGTGTCCCCACAGCCACATGGTGTCATTTTTCAGGCTTTCAGGAGGAGATCTTTGATGTGTAGGGTCCTTCACATTAAGATGACTCAAATTCTCTGCATGGGCGTTATTAAAAAATAATAACTTGCCTTCATATGGCAGTGCTTGCCCCATGATTTCTTTGGCATCTTTCAGTTGAGATGGCATACTTAGTCCTGAACTAAACATTGTACAGTCCACTCAGTGTGACTGTAAAAAGTGTAGGTCATCCTGGGCTTCATTCCATGCTGTCCAGGACAGTGATATTTTTAGCTTTTTGTAACTGAAGTTTTTTTGGGTTTTTTTTGCGCTTGCTGTTTTTTTGGCTTTTATTATCCTTCAGTACAGGTGGAAAACGTTATGTGAGGAGAAGCAAGAATTAGTGGTTGGACTAGACAGCGGATTTGCCTTGGCGTATTTCATGATGTGGGAACATTCTTAACATCACTGGGTGTCCGGCTTCCTTCAGGCTTCAGTGACTCATGACCTGCTCCTGACAAAGAGCAGGGTGCTTGTGTACTCTACATCCATAAGTAAAATGGGATTTTTTGAGGGGGAAAAAAAGAAAAATGTCGTATGTTTGTTATGAGCTTAGCAGATGAGCGAACACCTCCAATGCAAAACCAATTTAGGACATGTGGATTTCATATGGCGTGTACTGCTGCTAACAGAATAGGTACCACAGTGTTCCTAATGAAAAGGGTAAAAGTGGAAAAATTTGGGTGCAAGTTAACCCTAAATATGTTTCCTTTGTGCAGTTATTCAGGGTACTGACCAGGCGTGTCTTTCTGCTCCCAACTCTATACATCTTTGCCTCTTCCCAACAGCTGCTACTCCGCCTTCTTCTCTCCCAGAGATACTGTCAGTGAAGATATTTTCTCACTATGTGTTCAGAATTCTCTAAGAAAGTTGTCTTTTGTTTCCTGTGACATTTTGGCAAGTTCAGAAGCAGCAGTGCTGAGCTAAGGATATGATGCAGCAGGTGCTTTGGGATGGTGCGAAAGAGTGGAACTGAGCACACACTGAGTTAACAGGCATAAAAAATAGAAAGATACTTTGCTTTTTTTTAATTAAAATCATGGTAAAGTATTGTAGCTATACCAAAAAAATATTTTCAAGCAAAACTAAGGTTCCTGTTGTTGCTGGTTAAACAGATTCTGTCAGCTCACTCAGACGCTTCTCGTTTCCTTTGCCCTTATATCTAACCTGGTTCGATTTGATCAAAAAAGTTTTGATGAAGCAGACATCCACCAAAAAATGAGATGCTACAAAATGTTTTACGGGGGCTTTATTGCTTTGGATGAAATGCTTGAGTGGAAAAAGTAAAAGCTAAATTAATGTTTGATAATATTGAAATATTTCAATGGTATTGTCTTAATTCATTTAGTCCAACTTTTACTTCCTTTACTATTGTTTTGTACTATGTCAAAGAATGTAGCACTATTTAGAAATAAAATGGTAGTACAATATTTTGATTGATTATAATGGATACTCTTTAGAATTTGTATTTTGTTGGAAATTTCAAAAGTTTGACTTCTGTGCTTTGAATCAGAACAATTCATTCTCTTCCTCTAAATATAGTATTTTCTATTTTGATGGAACAAAGATGTACATTCTCGTATAGCTCAGATTCAGGCCTCTGCTTATGACAATCAACTTTGGTTGAAGACATTCTTTGGATTTGAATAATTTTACTTCAAGTATCATTTGGAAGCCGTTTGGAAGCACAAGAAATTCCCATGGTTGCCTCTCTGTAGGGAATATTAATCTTTGTGAAAATGAAGCTTAATAAATGTTTGCATTTGTAAATAGATGAGAGCTGTGTGCAAATCCCCAAAGCTAAAAGGGTTCAATTTAAAATCATAAAACACACAGAAATTTTCAAAAAACATTCTGTGCTGGTGAAAAAGCAGCTTTTCTAAAAGAGGACTTGGCTGTTTTGCTGCAGGAAAGGTGTGATATATCCCATATTGGAAACACAAGAAAAATAAACATGCACGCATTGGAACTGAGTTAGTGGAATTGTTGAAGTGTTTATTTTCCTTCCTCCAATTGGCTTTACTGTTGATTGATGAGCCTTGATGATCCGTGTGGCATTATTCAGATGCCTCTTATCTTTCTTTGGCCCTTGCTTCGCCAGCAGTTCTTTTTGATCAGTTTATGACGCCCCTTGTAGCATGCAGCACACGGACAGTGAGCAGGCAGCAGTCCCCCCCTTTGATGTCAAACTGCTTTCTGCCTTTCCAGCTCTGCAAAGTGCAGGAACTGCTACTGTGGATAGCATCAGATACTCACTCTGAATTGCGTGCCTGCATCATTTCGCCTTTTGTTAGGATCACCATCCACAGCAGGTCTCTGTAATTTCCATCACAGTCTCCTCTGTCAATGTGAAAAAACCAAAAACGTAAATAAGCTGCTGCTTATTTAATTTTACAATTTTCTGTCTGAAGAATGAGCCGAAGGCTTGCATTTCTGGCTGTGACCTGACCACTTGTTTCCTCATTCCAGGTTCGCAACGAGGGAGAGGAACGCTCTCCTCCTCTACAACGGGCGGTTCAACGAGAAGCACGACTTCATTGCCTTGGAGATCATTGAGGAGCAGATCCAGCTCACGTTCTCTGCAGGTGGGGTGGCACTGCAAGAGAGTGTCTCTGCTTACGGTTCTGAGGTCTTCTCAGCCTGGCTGAATTTGCTGCCTAGTATTTGTATTTGCTGCCTTGTTAATAGAGTAACTGGCTGATGCTGTGCAGTTAACGATTGACAGAGGGTGTTGCAGAGTGCTCCAGATTGTAGCACTTTGTGGTGGTAACACTCGCTATCGTAGACAGGAGCTTGTCAACATATCAGTTATAAAATCCAGAGTTTATGAGTACTATAAAAGATTAACACTAGTCTGACAGCCAGTGCTTGCTTAAATGAGACTTCATTTTATTATGCTGGGATAAATGTTGTGTATTTATGTATTTTTATACTACGTCAGCAGTGAAACTGGGTGCCTAACTGTATTCTAAAAAATACCTGTGAGCCAAAGCAGACAAATGAAGAATGCTTGCCATTCTTTATTGCCTGTGCCAAGCAGTACATCGCTGGAATCCATCAATGCCCACTAGGAGCTCCTCCCTGCCCTGTAATCCACAATAAATTTTGGAGAACACACCTGCTCCCTCATTGCCAAGCTGGGCTAGAGAACATGAAATGGAGGCTTTGGCATTTGCATTCTTTCTTGGCATCTTTTGATGGTACCATGAACAGAGAGAGGGGAAGGCTGATGAGCAAGACTTGGGATGGTCCATGTCACTGTCACTGTGGCTTTCTCTCAGTTAATAAGTGTCGTACTGAAAATCAACCCTGACATTAACAAACTTTTTCCTGATGAAAGTGTGGTTAGAACAAGCTCTTACTGTTCCATTCTCAACAAAGGGATTTTTCCGCAGTTTAAATTAAAAAACAAGACCAGCTATGCTCATGTGCATAACAGGGGTAGCACAAGAAGCTGTCAGAGTGCAACTGAAGCACATTGAAGCCAGCAGAAATGAACTTCTGGACTTCAGCAGGATTGCTGAAGCAGTTGGTGGAGGGGATGTTTTCAAGTGGGACGAAACATATGCCTGAGTAGGGCTGTTGTTCCCATGTGTTTTATTGCATGATGGGGGGAAACATGGAGGCCCAGGAACTGAGGTTGATGTCACATCTGCCTGGTGCTGGAGGAGAAGGGCCTGGCCACCTGGGCCCAGCCCTGCAGTGTCCTGCAGCAGGGACCCAATACATGTAATCAGCTGAGACATTTGTAGCTCTGTACAAGGCACATAGCTCCGGAAATAAATTATCCTCTTATTTCCTGGTCTCCTTCAAAGTCGACATGCAGGCTCTGGTTGACTCTCACTTATCTCTTTGAAAGGAGAGACATTGCAAGAAATAAAGCAGTTGAAGCAACAGGCTCATGCTGGTGATACACCCTCCCTGCCAGTGACAGCCATGGTCATCAGACTGCTCTGTAAATCCTGTGTGACCCCATTCATTTACCAACTGTAGTTAAGTGCATATGTGGACTATTAGGGTAGAAGATACTCCAGTTTCATTTCTCCTTTATTACCCAGAAGATGTCCAAATTAGAATGCATTTTCAGTGGATTAGTGTAATGAAATAACATGCTACTGGTGGAGAGATTTGCTTTCTTCTGTATCTCTGTTCCACTTGTCTAAACTTGAATAAAATTGCTAGGAAGGCACCCTGAGGATGAATGAGAAAAAAATCAACTTGCACTTATATGCATTTAAATGTGGAGGAACTCTTTTAAAATACAGGAAACTAAATTTAGATTTGCTCTGCTGCACCCCGGAGCAGGTCTGATCCTGTACCTTACAAAAGGTATTTTCTTTGGAAGAAGAATGGTTTACGTTTCATAGTTTTAAGTGGCATTTAACGAACAATGCAAGTTTTGGACACCTGATCTGACTGCTTTACCTGTTGCAACAACTTTTTTGCAGAAAGCAAAGCAAAGTGACTGAAAACCAGGAACATTCCTATTGCAAAAGCTTTTTAACTGAATGAAAAATATATTTTTAGCACATTTGTATCAGCATATGATAAAAAGCATCGCAGCAAGGTGTCAAATGTATTCAACTGATATGAACAGAATTATATATAATAGGAGCGAAAGGAATAATGTTTCACACAGGGTAAAGCATTTGTTGCAAGAAAAGAGCAGAAAGTACATTTTTAAGCTCGACAATAATGTTGACTTATGGGAGGGAGTGAATTTTCCTGTGGGTTATTTTGTAGAATTTTCCAACTGTTTAAAAAAGGAAAAAAAAAAAAAGAGAAAGGGAAAAAGGACAAAACCTAGCAATCTGCTCTCCTTGCCAAGCCTTTTATATCCTTTCAACACGAATGTTTATTTTGTTGCTACCTTGGAGCAGATATGCGTGGTTACTGAGCAGGTTATGCTTACTCAGACCTGATTTTAAGGCTTCTGCTTTACAATTGCAATGTGAAGAGCTTGCTTTCCAATTTAAATACTGAAGGGCTGCCAATAGTTTCATTAATCACTTGTAAAATTTTGCTGAGATCCACAGTTACTGTTCCTGTGTTTTATACGTAACTATCTGACATGGTCTCATCAGGACTCCTGACAGACTGGAACTGACTGGAAGTAGCATTCTGTTCCCTAAGAAAATAACTTGGCATAGAATCATTAGAATTGAAAAGACCACAAAGATCATCTATTCCAGCCATCAGCCCATCCCCAGCATGCCCAATGACCACATCCTTCAGTGCTACATCCATGTGGTTCTTCCACATCTCCGTGGACTGTGACCCCACCACCTCCTTGGGCAGCCTGTGCTGCCGCCTCACCACTGTTGCTGAGAAGAAATTGTTCCTAATATCCAACCTGACCACCCCCTGCCCTCTCTGCTGCTGCATCATGCCCTTTATGTAAAAAAATGTAGTGTGCTGCTTCTGACAGAAATGTAAAAAAAGTCACACAGGCCGTTGTAGCAGTGACTGTATCTACACAACACCTATGCACTCTACAAAAAGCATAACAGAAAATAACACAGTTCACCAGAATATGTAAGAAGCTGTTTTTGTGTTTGTGCACCAAAGTAAGAACAGTAAACTGAGGCCGTTTACTGCCTCCCTGGACAAAATCCCCAATTCCTCCATGAGGAAGTAAAGCGGCTGCATCCTGCGCCCAATGAAGGTCACGCTGTGTTGCAGTGTGGGATTCGGTGGAGTTGCAGAAGCACTGACCCCGATTCTCTTCTGCTGTTGTTGCAGGGGAGACGACCACAACGGTGGCACCATTCATTCCTGGCGGGGTCAGTGATGGGCAATGGCATTCGGTCCAGGTGCAGTACTACAATAAGGTAAGGGAAATCACACTGGCGATACCCCTATTATTTGTCAGTAGTAGAGACACGCGTCACTGAGCTCTGCTGATGTATGCAGGTGACCCAAGCTGTATTTATTTAACCAGCTCTGCATGAATGGGGCTGGTCTTGCTCACTGCCTGCGTCAAAGCTTCTTTCTGAGCTTTACCTCAAGAAGGCAAAGTCTGACCTTGTATGTCCTCCTTACAACTCCCACCAGACATACCTCTAGGTACTTGCAGCTCTTACAGCTTTCAGTTCTTCAAAACCTTCTAAATATCAGTGTGTCTAAAATGACTGACACACTGATGTGAAGTTTTTGAAGAACTGTACAGTACAGGAGCCTTCAGCATAGTGATTACAAACCACTAAGATGGAATTTTTTAAGGCAAAACAGAACTGCTCCGTATAACCCTATTTTCATGTGTGAAGCAACCAGTTTAGTCAATGCAAGCTTTCTGCTTTGGAAAATTTGATTGTAAAATATGTGACACTTTCTAGTAACTGACAGCTATTTTACTACATTATTTTTTGTCTGCATATGAAAGGATGTGCAGGAGGAATGCAGCATGTATGGCTCTATGCTGTCGAGGGCACTCAGAGGGGCCGTCCCCATGGAGACGGGTCAACATGTGCTCTCTTAGGAACTGTCACAAGGAGGCTCGGTTTGATGAGATGGGAACTTGTGCAAAGCAGCCACTTTGAGAAGCAGTAAAGTGCAGGCATTCAGGGGGTGCAGTGTGCAGATGGATGTCAGAGCTCTTCAACATACAGCAAAAATGAGAGAATTTGTTTAGTTCCTGAGAAGCGCTGCTTTTAAGTCCAAAATGACAGCATTAGGAGGGTTTACATAAGGAAATAGAGGAGTATTGTTGGCTGTTAAAAAGGAAACTGGATACTAATGTGGGAAGCTGAAAGGAAGACGAAGGATTAATATGATCAGCAAGTTCTTTATTTCTCTTTGGTGCATCCTGTCAGCACAGTTTGTGTAGTGGGTTGAGTAGGAAGGTTTTCTTTGGACTCTTGAGTCCAAAGGGTCTCCTAGCTTAAGGATATTCTGCTGAGGAAGTCAAGATTTCATAAATTTTGTTGTTTAAACCCAATATACCTCTAGCTGTCCACTGTCTGGAACATAGAGAAACAGAAATGAAGCTTGACATGCGACTATACTTGCATCTCTGGACTCCATGAGGGCTTTCTTACTAAACATGTTGCCATGCCCTGTGTTTTTTCTCAGTGAAGAGCCAAGCATTTGCAGGGACAACGAGGAGATGCTCCCACTCTCAGCTCCCCGGTGGCAGGGCTGTGGCAGCTGCAGCATGGCCTGTGGAGCAGCTCTGGCACGCTGTCAGGGAGATAAGGGCCCAGGCAGCCCAGGACACTCTTTAAAAGGCAAAGAGATCTGACACAGGTGTTAAAAATAACCCCCTGCCTTGTTTTCAGCCAGACTGGTTGGTGTGTGGTGCTTGCGGTGTAGGGACTGGTGTTTTCCTGGCATTAATATAGGCA